ATGGAAACTAACGATCGCTTGAATGTAATCCGCTGCGTCACATGATGCAGCGCGGCTGATGATGTCATCGACGCTGTGCTCAGTTTGCTGCTTTTAGGAGACAAACTGAAAGATAGAAACGATTCAGAAAGAAAATGTTTGGTTTTGATTGGCTGTAGATTGAGTTATTCTCATTATACAGAGTTTATGATACGTCCTCATTTAGATAGAAGCTTTTTTTTTTACTCGCTGTAGTACTTTTTACTACAGTAATTTTAATCTATTTGTTTATTTAAATCTAATTCTAATTATGTATTGTAATCAAATTTAGTTTTATTAATTTACTTATTTTAATACACAAATGCTGATGCAAAAGCTTAGTCACTTGCATGCAGTCCTGTTGTAAAGATTTTCCACGAGTATTTCCTTCAAATGTCAATCAAATCCAAACAGTTTAACTAACTAACGCGCTCAGAAAAGTTCTCTTCCAAATGTTGCTCCACCATGACAGCAGTTGATCTGAAAGAGAAATATCACTAATGACAATGAACTAATGTGTGAGTGTGTGTGTGTGTGTGTGTGTGTGTGTTTAGTCATGAGTTACTAAAGCTAGTTTGCTCACAGGATGACTAACATGCCCTGTAATGTGATTGCACGTTAATCTAAACTAAAGTGGACTGTACAGTGTGTGTGAGTGTGTGAGAGAGAGTGTGTGTGTGTGTCTCCTCTCATGAGTGAAATGTCAGTGCGTTTGAACCTCAGCCGTCAGGAGCGTCAGATTCAACAACATCAAACATGAACACTAACTCTAGTCAGCGTAATGAACAATGACATCATGCTGCTGTTTAGTTCCTGCAGAAGCAGAAGTCATAGTTAAGGTTACCACGGTAACCCTGTTTCCCGCCACAGTGCCAGTGTTACTTCTGCAAAATCAGATTCTGAACTGGCTGTTCAAATCACTCATACAAAGCAGGGTTATTATCGTCAACTGAAACTACTGAAACATTTTACTTAATTGAAAAACAAAACAAAATAACATAAATATTAGATGGAAAAACTTTAAATCAAAATTAGAAATATTGCCTTGGCAAATCTATGTTTGAGTTGATGTAGTACAATTACTAGCTGTAAATAAATACTGAAACTGAAGTAAATTAAACTTAAACAGTATTATAAAAAAATACTACAAAAAGTACAAAAAAGTACTTAAAGTACTAACATTAAAAAGTGATTCCTAATTGAAATAAAGCTAAAATAAAATATAAATGTAAGATGAAAGACTTAACTATAAACCGTAATAATACAAAAAAAAAAAAAAACTTTAAATGCCTTGGCAACAAAATGAAACAAGTTTAAATTGAAACTAAAGCTGAAATAAATGAAACCTACTTAGTAATGTTTAAAAAAAACTAAATTACTAAAAATTAAACTAAAATTGAATATTAGTTGAAAAACTTTGAATGAAAAAAGGGAAAATTGCACCGGTAACTAACTGAATTTATGGGAAATAAATATGAAAATTGAAAAAAATGAATGTAATTATTAAAATTTAAAACAAATTCAAATTATTTATAAAACCTAAAATGCATGCATTTCGCAGTATAATAGTATATAAACACTTCTAAAATAACACTGATACAAAGCTTGTTGCTTATTACATACACTAATACACTATAATGCATATATATTATACTATAACAAGTATATACTGTGTGTGAGCGACACACACCGTATCCGTGTTAAATCTGAGATCATTGACATGCGTGTCCGACAAATACAGTCCGCTTTTGGCAAGTCAAGAAGAATCCGAGTTACAACGTCCGTCTGGTATGTGTTAAAGCACACATACACACACACACACACACACACACACATCACAAACACAAACAAAGGCGTTCCCATCTGCGTGCAGAAAAACTTGTCATAACTGTACGAAGAGCCAGTGTTTCTATTTCTGTGTTTAAAGCGACTTGCCGCATAAACACAGCATATTTTCTGCGGTTTTCACTCTTATTTATGTCGTCCAAACAGCAGGATCTGAGCTCCTGCATTTGGTGCAAACACACTTGAGCGAGGAACACTGCGCACAAAATACAGCAGTTCGTCTAAACAACCCATCGCTTCATGTCCAAAAGAGAAGCTTGTCAGATACTTTTAGGCCCAAACTTCAGCTCTGTGACGTTCATTCAGATTTGTGGGCTGAATAGTGCGCTAGTGTCAGTTTTCTCAGTGATAAAGTGTCATAATGAGAGCAAGAAGAATGACATTTTGGTTTTTATGTACCAATTATATATAAAAATCAAATTTTACTTCATTTTTTGAATGCACTTGGCACAATAACATGACCACCATATTATCAACCAGCCAAATTCCAAATCAAAAAGTAGCTCTAGATTCAGTATTTCTGCAGCTCGGACAGGTACTTAATCTCACTCATTCCACTCCAATCCACTATTCCGATCTATTCTGTATATAAGTAACACACAAAGACAGCAAAACCATCATTCACGGATCACAGCAACTAAACGAGGCGCGGAAACCTGCTTTCTCAGCATTACAGCCCGTTCTTACCTCCAGGTTATCAAATGAAGGCATAAAACAGTAATTTAATTTATCTTTTAATCAAATGAAAAGAAACAACAACTTTATTTTTGAAAAAACAAAGGGGGTTTAGTATGAAAATTAAAACATGGGAGAAATATTGTGTAATTACGCCTTAAAAAATTATGTTTTAATAATTTAGTAGTAGTAGTATTACATTCATTTTTACTGCACAATAATATATTTCTGACACAATTTATTCAAGTTAAACCGAACTTTTATTTTGATGGGTTGCCGTGGATACCTTTACACTTCTGTGTGTATATGATATGACAGTTTTTCTCAAACGAAACGGTAAAATGCTCAGGAAGTGACTCTCAGAGCTGTTCTGAGATGTTGTTCATTTGCATTATTGACACACTATTTTCCTATTTGATACTGTAAAGCTGCTTTGACACAATCTGTATTGTTAAAAAGCGCTAAATAAATAAAGGTAGAATTTGTGTCCTCATTTAGCGAGACGGCAGATGCTGAAATCACCGCTAGCGTCAGTATGTGTGCAGTAAACAAAACCGTGCATCTGCGCCATTCAGTCACACAGACACAGAACATGGAGGATTCTTATTTAACGTCTTTTTGCTGCTTAATATTTATAATTTATAATATTTATAATATTTACAGATACTGGTCCATATCGCGATTTGATTGAAGTTAACTGACCTACTTTTGATTAATGCATCCAAACTTTGACAAATTCTGTGAAATTCCACATTATACAGTAAATTCCATTTTTATGACTGGATTCCGCGATTCCGTCCGCGTTTTCCGCATCGTGGAAATCATAGCACCCTACTCCAAGTTAGGGGTGTGCGATATTGACAAAAAATAATATCTCGATATTTTCTGGGATTTTACTGATAATGATAATTAGCTGATATTTTGCTGAGTGTGTTATTGTGCTGATGTCTTAAAGGTCCCATATTGTCAAAACTGAAATTTCCTGGCTTTTTTCATGATAACTGAGGTCTAGGGGCTATGTAACTACCATATAAGTTTCAAAACAGTCAGTCCACAGTAAAATGCACACAGCCTGCATATAATATTTTCCAATAAGATTAAATTGATTTTTAACTTTTATGGGCATTTTTACCTTTATAAAGCCATTTTTCTAAAAGTGTGCATTATCTTTTGAATCAAATTCTTACATTTAATCAGGGAATTAGAATAATAAGACATCTGAGCTGTTACCAGGCAAGTTAAATCAGTATCAATAAAATTCATATTTGCAATGCAGAGGAAACACAGAAGCTGCGTCTGAAGTGGCATTTAGATGCATTTACACACTGTTTAGTGCAGGACATGAATGCATTTAACCAAATTGCAATTACAAATGCATAAATAATGTTTTGATATATTAAACAAAAAACGTTGAATACTGATATTTGAAATTATTTAAATAATAAAAAGATACTTTAAACCCCCCAGCAGGTGGCAGCAGGTCACTGTTAATAAGTGAGTTATTGCAATTGAACCGAATCATTCAAACGGATGATTCATTCAGGAACGAAACACCGTCATGTTGCTTAGAGACGCGAAACAGCGCTGTGGCTGTGTTTGGAATTATTTTTATTGCCGAAATAGAGCAAAAACAGGCAATACGGTGTAAAGCCCCGTCACTATAAAGATAACTATAAAGATAACGATATTAGCGTCCACACCAGCGAACGATATCGTCTGTTTATTCTAAGCACACGCGCATCTGCCGCTTTAAACTCTTGAGCTCGTCACAGCAGGATTGATTCTGATTGGCTGTCAGTGTTTTTATCATTCATCAGCTGGAAAAAAAATCGTTCTGAAAGTGATTACAACGATATCGTTTCTCTGTGCCTTTATCGTTATAGTTGTGGTGTGAACTCTGCTATTCTTTAATATTGAGAATGATTTTTAGAACTATATCTTTATCGTTATCTTTATAGTTATCGTGCTTGGTGTGAACAGGCCTTAAGTCTCTTAATTAACTTCTTTGATTTTATTAATTAAAATCAATATCACATTTGTAATCACAGTAATTTTTGGAGAAAAAACGGCATTCTTCGTGTGAAATTGATTAACTATATGAAGTGGTATAAATATATACATTTTCTGCCCCCAAGTCTTGAATTTGTGATCATTGTAAATATTTTTTAATAGACTGAATCTTGCAGTGAAAGAACACACTCTAAACGCATATGCACACTACTCTAGACTTCACGTAAAGCGTGCTCTCTGTAGGTGTTTTGTTTTGTTTGGTTTTTGCAAAATACTCGATAATGTCAAATCGCACATCGTTAAAACAACAATTACGATATTATCGCAGACGATATATATCGCACAGCCCTACTTTAATTAATACACAAAGACAGCAAAACCAGCATTCACGGATCACAGCAGCAAAACGAGGCACCGAAACACGCTTTATCAGCACTAAAGCCCATCCTCACCTCCAGCACAGGTCCGGCCCCGAGGATGATCTGCTCCACGCCGCTGGCGAAGCCCTTCTGGCTGAGCGCCGTCAGGTGGTGGATGAGGAAGTTGGTGCTCTGCGTCTTTCCTGATCCGCTCTCTCCCGAGATCACGATGCACTGGTTCCTCCTCCTCTGCAGCATGGCGTGATACGCCACGTCAGCCACCGCGTAAATGTGCGGCTCCAGCTTCCCCAGCCGCTGCTTATCGTACATCTAAAGGCGAGACACCCCAGGTGAATATGGAAAAAAATTAACTAATAAATATCGCCATACTTACACAGTTGATTGATTACATTAAGAATTATAAACATCTTTTGTATTACATGTTTTCTGAAATGTTATGTTTAAATATGCAAAGGAGGCATTATCTTATTAAATATGTGCTAATTTGCATAAATTTCTAGAACAAAAATCTCTACATTGGATAAAGCCAGGCTCAAAATTCTTGTTTGACTTTGCTGACATATTAGACTCAAATGTTTTTACAGAGGGGATTTTGAATATCTCTTTTATTCACTTCATAAATCAGAAAATATTGACAACAGCCAGAAAAAAATACTTTTTGCAATTTTTTTTTAAGAATAAAATGTTGTATAAAACCAGGCAAATTATACTGTATATGTGACCCTGGACCACAAAACCAGTCATAAGGGTCAATTTTTTTCCCATTGATGTATAGTTTGTTAGGATCGGACAATATTTGGCCGAGATACAACTATTTGAAAATCTGGAATCTGAGGGAGCAAAAAAATCTAAATATTGAGAAAATCATCTTTAAAGTTGTCCAAATGAAGTTCTTAGCAATGCATATTACTAATCAAAAATTAAGTTTTGATATATTTACGGTAGGACATTTACAAAATATCTTCATGGAACATAATCTTTACTTAATATCCTAATGATTTTTGGCATAAAAGAATAATGTATAATTTTGACCCTTACAATGTATTGTTTGCTACAGCGACTTAAGACTGCTTTTGTGCTGCAGGGTCACATATGAACAAGCCCCCTGTAAAAACCTTCAGAATATAGATTGTAATAAAACTGTAAAGTTTTATTGTAAAGTATGTAAGTGCTACTGAAGTGGAGATTTTTGGCTCAGTAAAGGAAAAAAAATCTCATTTTGAGAAAACGGCCTTTAAAGATATGTATATTGTAACTGCAATCTACAGACGAAAATAGATAAAGTGCTATAAAAGAAACACTTAAAAGTGTATTTTAGATGTTTTCTTTCCACTAATCTGAAAAACCAAAAAGCCCAAAATCTCAAAACTGACAAGTGCATGAAAAATAGGGCTGGGACAATAAATCGATGCATCGCGATTCGTGGATCGATTCTGAGATTATCGGAATGCATCGTGATTCTCTCTGGAATCGATTCTGAGCTTAGTTTTTAACAGCAGATGGCGCTCTAGGCTAGATTTTAACCACACACTCAAATGCTCACAAAGAAGAGCGTTCGGCTGACTCATGTAAGTGGTTAAATGTACTTGCACCTTGGCTTTTATGACGTGAGATTAATGTAAACAGCCTACTATGAAGACCCTTGTAATTCGCTTCAACCTTTTCAAACTGTATGAATGATTATTTTAGGTTCAAATGGTGCGTGTGTAAGGAGCTGGAAGCGAGCAGAGTACGGCCGTTTCTAAAGCATGCAGCGCCATCTGCTGTTAAAAACTAAGCTCAGAATCGATTCCAGAGAGAATCGCGATGCATTCCGATAATCTCAGGATCGATCCACGAATCGCGATGCATCGATTACTAAAATACTATTTAGTATTTTGTATTTAAAGACATTTAATCTTAGTATTTTTGTATTTTCAAAATACTTTTTGCCAATCAACCTCTTTATTAGACTACAAGTATACAAAAATAGTATACAAAAATACTAAATACAAAAATACTAAGATTAAATGTATTTAAATACAAAATACATGTGACTTTTCCCAAAGGTATTTAAACACAAAATACAAAATAGCATTTCAAATACATGTATTGTTGATGCTTCACGATGCCATAAAATAACCTTTTTGTCTAAATGGTTCCATAAAGAACCTTTAATATCTGAAGAACCTTTCTGCTTCACAAAAGCTTCTTTGTGGCGAGAGAAGGTTCTTCAGATTATAAAAAGGTAAGAAAGAGATGGTTCTTTAAAGGACCTTTGACTGAATGGTTCTTTGTGGAACCAAAAATGGTTCTTCTATGGCATCGCTGTGAAGAACTTCTTTGTGGCGAAAGAAGGTTCTTCAGATTATAAAAAGGTAAGAAAGAGATGGTTCTTTAAAGGACCTTTGACTGAATGGTTCTTTGTGGAACCAAAAATGGGTCTTCTATGGCATCGCTGTGAAGAACCTTTTAAGCACCTTTATTTTTAAGAGTGTACCTTATGTATTTGAAAATTCAAAAATACTAAGATTAAATGTATTTAAATGCAAAATACATTTGATTTGTTTTCCAAAGGTATTTAAAGCGGCAGTCCGTAAGTTTTGCCTCTTTGTCGCCATCTCTGTTTGAAAACCTGCAATTGCAGCTGTGTGTGGAATTATCTTCCTTGCGTGGGTTGTGCAGCGGCTCGGCTCCAGCGCGGATGCATCTAATGTTCTGAAGAGTATGTGTGGCAGTCAGTCACCGCACCGGTGTGGATATTGTACTTTGCACTCACAGATTCTAGCCTACGTCTTGGAATATATGACTCAAATAAGCATTTTCACCAGATATTGTCATCTGAACAAGCAAATAAGAATTTTCACCAGATATTGTCATCTGAACAAGTAAGTAACAAGTCTGCCACGTTTGTTCTGACCAACTGAGGAAAAAAGCATTACAATAAATCGCGCTACCAATCGTGATTTCATCTAAATTAGCTCATATCACATCAAACTGTGCAAATTATTATTATTGTTATACTCAAATTGTTAATGTTAACAACATCTGCATTGCGTGACTATGTGAATATAGTGTGTATTAGCGTGTATATTTCAATTTCTGCACAGTCTAATCTCTAATTGTCATACCATTCAAATTTCATATTAAGAAATTCTTTTAACCCAAAAAAGCAAATTATGCTCCCTTCGAACTGGTTATCTTTAAAATACAAATCTTGTGTAATCCCAGGCTATCTGTCATCAGAAGCACATTTAAAACTGGAATATAATTCCAGCATGCTCGAATTTCCCACGAAAACCTACCCGTACCACTCAAATTAGAAAACATTATTATAAGCTAACCGTTGTGAATCGGGCTAAAGTAAGGCGATAGTTTTGAACACTGGCTGGTTATTTACTTGCTCAAATATTGATTTCGGATCATTTTTAACCAAAAAAAGTTACGGACTGCAGCTTTAAATACAAAGTAGTATTTTGTATTTCAAATACATGTTTTTGAAATACTACCCATCTCTGGACTCCCAGCCCTAATAAAAAAATAAAACTGTGTTTTTGCCTGCAGTGTCTTGCCTTAACGTATTTGGGGTTATAGATGGGCAGGAACTTGAAGGGGTTGACGACGATCAGGATCCCGCCGACGTACGTGTAAATTTTCTCCTGCCGAAAGCGTCCGCGCAAGTTCTCCAGCAAAGTCCGCTCGTTTAGATCGGGCAGCGCGCAGAGATCGTCGACGTACGGAGGCTGCGGGAGGAGTCCGCGCTCCACCATCCGTCGCCGCTCCTCAGTTACACGAAGCCACATCTGCAGGTTTCCGTAGCGGATGGATCCGTCCAGATCCTTCTCGCGCAGCAGAAAGCGGTAATCCTCTCCGGCCAGACGGTTCTCCAGCGCCATGCGCGGCCACAGCATCATGCGCTGCACGGGACAGTCGCAGGGGTTCAAGATCCATTCCTCGCCGCCGAACTCCTTGACCTCGGCAAGCACGTAGAGGCGTGCGCGGTCCAGCTGCAGCCGCTCGATGACGCGCTCGATGACCTCCGCCGCCGATGTCACCTTCCGCGCCGAGACGGGGCAGTAGATGGTGCCCTCAGACAGAGCGCCGGGATACACGCGCAACGTGAACTCAGAGTCCTCGGAACGCCGGCGCCCTCCGGCATCATGGCAGCTCATGATGCTGCAGCAGCTCCCATCGGCACCAGAGTCACCCGACAGATTCACGACATCCCACCTGCGGACAGACAAACACAAGCGGCAGTCAGAACGCACTTACGGTCCAGGGTGGCTATCGGTAACAAATAGGTTTGCAAAAAGGTGGAAAATCCAGAAATTTTGGAAACTTTCCAGGATTTTTTGTAATATTTCAGGGATTTTTGGAAAGTTTCTGGAAATTTACCGGAAATTTTCCACCCCTTTGCAACCCTAGTAACAAACTAAAACTATTAAAAAAGAAGGTAAATAAACTAAAATAATAAACTAAAATAATAAAAAATAAAGGGACAGACAAACACAAGTGGCAGTCAGAACGCACTTTTGGTCCTGTGTGGCTATCGGTAGCAAAGTAAAACTATTAAAAAAGAAGGTAAATTAAAAAAAATTATAATAATAATAATAAAAAA